AGTGGCAGGACACTGGTGTGGGCTGCTGTCCCTGCCCGTGGCCTTCCCCTTACTCTTTGTCTCCTTCTATCAGGTGGACCCTGACGCAAAGCACAGGGCTCTGGTCATGGAGGTGACATGCAGGAATCAAGACAATCTGGGCCAAGCTCTCTGCTCCTGGCCCTCTCTGCCTCCTGTTCTGCATCTCCCTGCATGTCTTGGGCCAAATGTTGTCATCTTTGTAGAGGGATTACACCTCCAGGGCGACGCTAATCCTCTGCAGCTGCCGTCTAACATGGGGTAGGCGGTGCTGGAGGTGAGGGAAATATTTATTTTGAGTTTTGCCATTGGCCACTGCCCAGGAAAAATGAGTGATTGTACTGGGGACTTTGGCCACTTCTTGCATGCAGGGAGAGCTGATCTTCCTGCGCTGCTGGTGCCTATGGGAGAGGGGTGAGAGCTTCCCCCGGCAGGCTGCAAAATGGGACCACCCAAACAAGACTTTATTTGGATGAGGGAGCAGCTGTGTGCCCCGAGAGCTACCCTGGGATGTGATGGGGAAAGCCTGAGAGCCGCCGGAGGTGAGAAGATGATGGATGCTGAGTTGCGCTGAGGCAGACCTGCAGATCGTCTGCTCCACCACTGCCTCGCGCGCTGCCCCTGCGGCCCCAGAAATCCCTTTCTTCCCTGTGAGAGGAAGGGTCCGGCACCACCAGGAGTGGGCTGGTGGGTGCGAGGGGAGGTGACGGGCACGAGCAACACACATGTGCTAAGCAGGCAGGTGCATCCCACCCACGGCAGGGCTATGCTGGCACCCATCCCTGCAGCGTGTGCAGGCAGCGGGTTCAACCCCTCCCAGGGCCCCGTGGCTCTTCCCTCCATCCCCAGTGTCATTTCCTCCAGCCTTGAGGCACGCCGATCGCTGCTCGGGGTATCCCGGCCCCAGTTCTTCCTCTGCACCGAGTCCGGCTTCCTCTCTGCTTTCCGGGTCTTCTCCTCAGTGGCGCGTTGGGGATCGTGCCCTGCCTCGCAGAGGAAGAGGAGGAGGCAGGAGGAAGTGCAGTTTCTCCTGGCATGGTGCCAAGAGGCAGAGGGAGCCTCTGCCAGCCCTGGTCACCCCGTCACCGACACTCCGGCAGTGTGCGGAGCCCCATCCCGCAGTGGCCAGCACCGCGCCGGCACGGCAGGGCCTGGACGATGTTGAGCACTTGGGGGCTTTTCCAGGTCGGGCTTCTCCAGCCTATTTTTGGGAAGCTGGGAGCGGC